TAGAACTTCACTTGTCTTCATCAAAGCTCACACTGACATGACTTACTTCTGACTATATGTACATGCAAAGCACATGTTTGTCCACACACGACACATGTGGAATGGCTTTGGGCCCTAATTATAACGTTATTAGGATGTGTATGTCCAAATAGTCAAATTTATGCAAATAAGTAAAAAACAAAAGTGAAGCCTATTGGGACTGGTACTTTTACAAAATGTTGGGGCCTCATTTCCATGTAGGCAAATGAGGTGGTAGTGGTTTCTGTACAGTGTAAAAGCATTGCATTGCTAGCAATGCATGGTTCTGACAGTGTCGGACGTACAGGGTGTCGGACGTACACATCTGATTCCACAATTTTTGAGTATTTGAAAAAATAACTGGGGGAGTTAAGCTGATATCTAGAAAGAATGAACTCATTGTGCTTTGTATTGTCAATTTGGCAGTCTTTTGCTAAAGGGTGCACTGAGGGGATAAAAAACTATGTCATTTTGGTGTCGGACGTACATAGAAAAGTACATGTAAGTGTTAGAAAATAAGTCATTACATAGAATTTCAAAAGGAAAATGAAAGTTCAAATCTGTCATTGCTTACTTATTGGGGCACTCTTCAAACTGTAACAAAACTGGAACAAAAAAATTGTTATCAGGCTAAAAAACAGAAAATTTTTCAGCGAGGAAATATTTTCCCCAATTTCTTGGTATCTAAAACCAATTTTTCAGTATCATATAAAACCAAATTCTTGAATGTTGTTAAAATGAAGTATGTTTCATCTGTTCATGAACCTATACACCATAAGCTTCGAAATGATACATAATTTCTCACATTTGGACCAGTTTGAAATTTTGGCCCAGAGGTTGATGTTTCCGTGGAACTGCCCGAATACATGTACATGTATGTTAGTGCAATAGTGAGCAAAGGGAATTTCCTTGATGGATTAATCAAGTACATGTACGGTAATTTGAATCTTGAATGTCAAGATACATACGTGTACAATGTCCTGTTTCACTGAAAAAGGAGCATTGTCTTCCATTGCCCATGTACATGTATGAGTCCACACCAAGGTTTAATCACCGGCGCAATCTTACCATGTTGTGCAGCTCAGTCTCCGTGATCAGCGCCGACGTCCTGGTCATCCCCTGCAGTTGACTGACCCCCGGGGGTGCATCCGATGAGCTCATGTTGTCAATCAGTGTGTCGAGGAACGATGACATACAGCCCTGCAAGTCACATGGGGGAAGAGGAGAGGGGAGATGGGGAGGGGAGTATATGACACATTGCATCGTGAGTCAGAGATAGAAAATGGACTGTGTTTAACAAAAGCTCCAGAGCCGGAAAACTTTTCAATAGATGTTTGCATCGCAGCTGGATTTGGAGTGTGAAAAATACAACTTGGCAACTCCAGACATCAATGACTAAGTGCTCACCAGTCACAACTGTGCCTGTACATGTATGTAAAATGACAGCCCAGCTGAATGTTAACATACATGTACCACTACATGTACATATATGCACAGCAAAAGTACATGTACACATGCACCAGGCTTCAAGTTCATGCACAAATGTACATGTACATATTAGCAGCAGGTATATTAAGCCAATCTCTCGTCGCATACAGTGCATACCAAGTTCTACCGGTACATGTGGGAACTTTCTTCAGTCTTCTAAAATTGTTCACTTTGAAGTACATGCATTCAAATATTAGCCCCTCCAACTGTTCCAAGTCACAGGTAGTTAAGGTTTTTTTGTCCACTTCCCCCACCGTCTACAAACCGGCAGAAACCACGTATCGCATGGTTTTTCCAAAATACACATATACATGTAGGTGAACTTGTGTAATGGAGGCTATACCGTACATGTACATGTACGTACACATGTAGGCTCCAACTTTCTCAAGCACCACGGGGACTTTGAAGGTTCTTAAGGTCCCTGCCAAAAAATTTAAATCCACCCAAAATTTGCAGGTTTTACCCAGGTTTTACTGGACCAAGGTAGAGCTATTACAGCCACTAGCACTTACATACATGTACATGTAATACCAATGGTGCGCTGGAGTTGAAAGAGTGCGCCATTGGGTTCCTGCAGGTCATACACAATGTTTGATTTTATGAATTCAGACCCATTCCTCAAGAAAGTGCAACAGAGGTGTGGTTAAAGTGCTGCATGAAATAAGTCTGAACTGCCAATGTTTGTACTTTTGACTTGCATCACAAAGAGGAGAAAATTATAATGGGTGAAATGTACATATACATGAAGAAGTACACAATATTACATGTATAATTTGCATGAAAATCTCAGGTTTCTTTCAGCACAACCTTTATTACATGCTGTTTCAGTCCTCAATGTCATGAGGCCCAGCCCCAAAGTCCAAAAATGAGTTGAAAAGACAAAGGCCTGTGGCCTAATTGAAATCAAGACAAAGAGTACTTAGAGAGTGGCATAACATACCCTGTGCAATTGTCTTTACCTAGAACTTCTTTCCATGTAACAAAAGCAGCTAGGATATGGAAAAGGTCAAGCCACGTACCTTTGGAAACCTACTGTAGATATCACTGGCCTGTGCTGGTGTGGTAGAGCCACTATTGTCCATAGCCAGTCCCTGCAAGATCTGCCCCACCTGCATCAGGTTGAACCGCGCCGTTGAGCTGATCATGATGTCCGTGATGACGCCGTATGACTCTGGGTTCACAATCACGGGGCAGACGAAGAAATTCATAAGGAGGTCAGCGCAGGTGGCCCTGACCTCCAACGGCTCCACCCGGCCGGACTTTAGCAGGATCTGGTGGAGCTGGGTAATGATCCAGTCCAGACTCTGCGGAAAGCAGTAGGCGTTGTTCCGCAGCCCGTCAATGAAGCGATTGCACATGGCCACCAGCTGGGTGACGATGGACTCCAGGTGGGCCTGCAGGCACTGGCGGTACTCTTCTGTGCCCGGGGTGCCGAAACGCAGCTCTCGCTCCTCGGGAGTGAAGTGGTCTAGCGCCTTCTGGGGGTCCGTCTCCAAGGGCACGTCGTCATCCATCAGGACGGACATTATGGGCTCGTGGAGAGCAGCCGTCAGGTACAGCCGGGTGGAGAAGAGGCCCTCAGTGAAGAGTCGGAAGGCCAGGCTGATGGCGCAGGTGCCGCGCCGGATCAGACGCCGCGGATCATCGCTGTCGGCCAGCTGCTGCTCCATGAGATACTGGAGCAAGTGCAGCGCCCTCTGCTCATCCTCCTGCACGATGCAGTTGCCATACACGGCCGACATGATGGAGCGGACTACCTCCTTGGCCGTCTCCGTCTGCTCCTTCTCCCCCAGGACCAGGCACAGGGCCACTGCCTTGGGGTTGTCGCGCAGGTATCCAAGGAACTCGCCGTACAAGGTGTCCTGGAAGCCCAGGTGCTTGTAGCTGTCCACGAAGGCGCACTTCTCCAGCGCATTGGCCCGGTAGCAACAGTAGTTGGGAGGGACGTCCACCCGGGTCAGCGTCAGGCTGTTCAGGGTCTGCCGCTGCTGCTGCGTGATCCAGGACATCCGGAACAGCTTATCGGCAAGCTGGGTGACCTCCTCGTGCAGCTGAAGTAAGAGCTGCTTCTCCGACAGGACAAAGAGGTGCTCCTGCTTGAGGTGTCGGGCAAGCTCCAAGAGCTCATGGCTAGCTGATAAGGTGGTCATGATGCCAGTTCCACGTACACGTAGTCAATAGGAGGTGACTCGAAGGGATGGTGATCACCAGGATTCAGCCCCTGGAAGCTGGCTGTTAAGACCTCATATCATCCATTCATGCTTGCCTGCAGAAAAAATTGGGAAATTGTCTTGCGCTAACAACATCCTCCTGAGTATGCATAATATTAATCAATGCAAACCTGCAAAATGCTTCAAAGACATGACAAAATGCGAGCTGCTAAAGCAATAAGTGATTTACCGGTATTTAAAACGTACATGTGTACACTGTATGTAAATGTACATGTATGTATGTGCATAAGATGCATAATGTATAACCTCAACACAGACAAGTGCCAAGCTTCAAACTGACTGGATATGAAAAAAGAAGTCCAACATCTTCAATTTAAAAAAAATGAGGCTACACCTTAAGTTTCTGAGTCACTTTGTACATACATGTACATGTACATACTGCTATAACATGGCATTCAAAACACTAATCTAACTAAAGCACACACAGACAGCATGATTAACTGGGATCAGGCCTTGTTCAATCGTGCTTGTACATGTACACAACTGGCTTTTTATGATGGGAAAATTCGTAACTACATTGTACAAGTACATGACTACTCTAATTGGAAATAACTACAAACTTCCGACTGTGTGCCATGGTCATTACAATAACAATGATGTACATGTAAACATACATACCCGTGTATGTACATGGATGTCGCAATTTAATACTAATAAACTGGCCTCGCTTCCATTTTGCAACATGTTATCATGACTCCCACATGTGCATGCATATAAGTTCGCGATTCAGCCCTATGGCCCTATCAAGTACCATGTATGGGGCTTGAAGCGGCTTCTGTCTGTGATGTTGGGACTGAGGTTGTACAGGCACAAAATCAATCAACGATGCACGTGGCTTCTCGCATCACCAACCCTAAGTGGAATAATGACTGGCTGAATACAAGGTTAAGGCTGTCTGCGAGCCTGGGCGGGAGCAAAGATTCACCAGGCATGCCAGGTCTACAGTGGCTCAATGGAAACATCCAACACAACAGGGTACAATTTACATTACGTACGTGTAGTCTTTCTCTGGATGGCACCCCCATTTATTTTGTTTTGTTGTTATTGTTGGTGCTGTTTTATTATATGACATTATATTAATGTTGAGTCTCACAAAACAATACACATGTGCCATGTGAATGCATAAATGGCAATAAACTTAAACAAACAAACAAACATGATTAACCACTGGCAAAGAGTATTATTTTGGCTTATACAGGGATGTAAGTGGCCACTTAAAATTTAAGCTGAAAACTGCTACATGTAACAAGCTGAAATGTAAAAAGTTCCCCATACTTTTGCACAGATCGGGTGTACAAAAAAGCTGAAATTCAGGTTCAACGTCTAAATAAAAAAAGCTGAAATCAGCTAAAACGCTGAATTCTCACACCCCTGCTTATAATTTCAACTTTCACAAAGGGCAGGATGTAGCGGCCAACTTCTGACACCCATCCAAATGCCACAAAGACTGACTCATCAGAGTTCGTTCAGTATTTGTACGAAATTTCTTGCCGCGAGTGTCCCTCGGATTTTTCAACACTTCGGGGCAGGCCTACGAAGTGATGCTTGGTACTTTGTTACGCACCATGACAGGCTGTGCACAGTGGCCAGGTTCAAGTTCAACACACAACCCGCCTCCACAGACACACTTCATGTGTGAGTTTGTTCACGTGTTATACACAAATTCAATTGGGGCTTGGCATGTTTGAATGTCAGCTAGAGGTGAGTTGGCATGGTTGGAGTGCATGCGGCAGTTTCACCCATCAGCTGCACCCCAGAACAAAGGGATTTTCATGATTGCCATCTTGCACGCCAGTGCCTTTGTTCCACGAGGCAGACGTACATGTACATGTACGTCGGCACAAAGGGGGTTTCCCTGTGAAACGAAAGAACCGCCCTGTAAGATGGCTACCACGCAAATGGTCATCGTGTTTACACATCCTCTGGCGTAAAGTGGTTGAGACCATGTGCTTGTGATTGAAAGATGTACAAACAACATTCATGGGATGTGATAAAACATAATAAACCAAGGTGCTTACTAACACTAAAATAGTAAATGTTATAACACCTAACTGATGAGTTCAAAAGTGGGAAAAATAAAACTTGGGAAAGAATTGGCGATAAGCAGGGCCAGTGGGCCACGTTGATAATGTGCTGTGGTACATTTGATGAGCAGGATGGAAGCAGGCTTTACCAAGCAACCACCGAACAGCACTTTATCAACGCACCAGTCCTTGAACTTCAGGTGCACTGTACACTCATTTTTGCAAAATGACAGCGACCTATTGGTCAAGGAGACGTTTAACACACGTTCATGGTACCCCCTCATCCATGTCATCAAGCTGAGCATGGTGCAACAGCCGCACAGTAGTAAATGGCTGCAGATTAAGAGCAACTGATTGGCTACACATGATGGAACACATACAATGTACATATATATAATAAACTGCAAGAAATTCATGCCTACATGTACATGAACGGAAGGGTTCTCTCACACCTGTAGTCTAGACAGTGTGATATACATGTATCCATACATGTACCTGTACTGTGAAAACACATGTGAGTCCACATGCATACAGTGTACACATGTACATGTAGGTCTTTTTTCGGTCCCTGTAACACGTGACCTGTGTAGTTTGTGTCTCACGTGACCTGTGTAAATCGACACAGGATCTATCACTGAAACTAACCTCAAACTTTCGTTTGTTTGGCAGGTATTACTTCAACATTCTTGGAAATTAACAAGTTTGTTCTAAACTTACAAACTCATTAAGTAACAGGTACATGTACTGGTAATAAGGAAAGGAAAATACAAATGGGTCTCAAACGTAGTAGAACGGCCCGCATACGATACCTGCACGTGCATCATTCGTATCCATGTACACTGGTGTGAGTGAACTTGCCGGCATCTTCAGTACAACACTGACAACTCATTTCCATTTCACAAGTTTCCCAAGCCCAATCAAGAGGATGTGTGTGACAAATGCCGAGGATATCCTGTGCACAAGCCTAAACAATGTTTTTTTTTCCATACTATTATTATTACCGGGTCCCCCCCCCTCGACAGAAATGAGTCATTCATATCAACTCCCCATTACAAAGACGAACTTTGATAAGATGAATCCGTGGAGAGAGTGAAAGCTGAATGTGTCAATGATATTGTAATGATACAATTACATGCACAAATACATGTATGTGGATTCTTGGTGACTACAGTGCATACAAAATACAGGTAAAAAAGATCAAATATACATGTCTTTCAAAGCAGGATATGCTCGTCTGAATAGCTCATCATTTATCGGTTTCAACACAACTTGAAAAACCGGTACTACTGTAGCACAGGTAGTACATGTACATACAGGAACCAATAGGCTTTTATGGCAATACATAGAACAGGTTTATGAGGTCTACAGTAAATTAAATACAGTGGTTCCAGGCACAAATGTGTCTGTAAAGATGATGTACTATATGTTCACTGTACATCCTGTACATTGTGAGTACAGTACATTTGGTACATTACTGTACATACAAACACATATTCACAGTGCACATATGCACCGGTACTGTACATGTACATGTCCAAGTATATGTGCTCTACGGGTACATGTTGGTAAGTCACTTGTAGGGTGTACACTGTACTGCATAGTAACTAAAACAATAATGATTTAATACCGTTGAAGTGCATGAATTATTCATCTGTGACTAACATTTTTCAGTTGCAGTTCTTCATGCCTTTTCATTGAGTGGTACCAGTAGGTACCGGTATCTGTGGATTCATTAATGTTTTACATTAACCCCAACTAACCCAAACCTGCCATACTCCAACAGCAGGATTTGTGAGGTTTTGGCAGGTTTGGTACCGTACCTGAGGAACTTCTTGTTGAATTTTGTGAGACTTGGGATGAAAGGCCCAGGGAGATGGTGTTGGATTCTGTGTGAGTTGGGACACACACAGGTCACTGTGTGCAGTGTCTGGCTTGCTGTACCAATTGTTAGACTATGCTTGATTTTGTCACGTTAGGTACTGTTCAGTGCAAGTCATCCTATACTGCATAGACCCATCCATACCATATCACTCAAACTCCAATGGGTTCATTCTGTTGGAGTTTAGCAGGTTTGGTACAGTAACCTGCATGTACAAGTACGTAGACAAGTACGTGAACCTGTTGGATTCAAATTCAAATGCAGCCTACAGTACTTGTATGCTTGTTTACTCAGAAAACTACATGTACATGTACATGTACCTTGGAATTAAGTGTGATGTGGAGTGAAGTCCTCAATATATTCCACAAAGCAAAAGAGGAATTTAATGAGAAATTTACTTAAAAACCACAAAGGCTTGGAAATCTTTCTCAATTTAAAATGTACTGATTTGCACCAAAATTCAACAGTTTTACCAGCTGTGCCTCAGACTGATTCATTTCATGATCTATTTAGTTCAGTACATGTACAGTACATGCATATATGTACATGTTGTACTATATTCTCTTTAATTTAAACCTCAATTCCAAAAAATTTGCTACCACTCTGTTTTTATCCAGAAAGGATAACTTTTCAAATAAATGCTAATTTCACAGCCTAATATTGAAGTGGTTAGGTGAGAAAAAAGCTGATGTTACTCACTAGAGGTCATTGACCAGGTCGGAGCCTGTTCCATTTACTGCACTTGCGGCTAGCTGGGCAAGGGGCAGCTACAGGGATTTGCATATTTTCCTCATTTTTCTGCCACATTATAAAAAATAACTGAAACCTTTTGGGTAGGTGTGGGAGATATTCACAGTGCATAAATAGATATCATTTCGGGCATATTTGATGGAAAGGTTTTAGTTTAGACAATAATATAGATTTTCCACATAGACCACAACAATACTTCCACCCTTTAGAGTTTCACGTGTAAAATATGGAATAGTCACTAATGACCAACCAGAGAGAAGAATCAAAACTCAGTGACGTCATCCTAACTGCGAGAATGGACACTGGATGTAAATGTAGATGCAAAGAGGTAAGATTACAAATAGGCCTAATACCAAGACTTCAGACTCTCCCAGTCTTGCAAAGAAATTAAGCTTTAATTGGGAGAAACATAATTGAGAAGCACATGTACTTGGCAGAGTTAAGCTCTTTCCTTGAGTTTTTGAAAGATTGTTTTGAAAGGCTGACAACATGGATGACATGTCACGGCTGAGTGCCCAGGATCATGAAGCACACATGCCGAGTTCCAAGCTCTCCCTGTCCATACACTCCTCCCCCGGAACTATGGGCCGGGGCCCGCCGAAAGCCTCGTTAGTTAGTAATAATACAATAAATCTAGGCCGAACCAACATACCGTACCAGTACATGACCAACCACTGGTGAGCCAGGCCTAACCACGCTAACCGTGCAAACACGGAACAGTTTGATCATCGAAAGGCTAGCTTACCACCGTTTTACCGCCCGAAAAGCATTCCTTCACGCTAAAGATGAACCGAGGCACATAAGCAATGGGACTGTAACGTATAAAGTAGAGAAAAGTAGCATTTACACGAACACTTCAAACAGCTATGCCGCATTATGTCACTGTTTTTTCCTCCATTTTCAGCCAAGTATATGAAGTACATGAACATACATGACCTGTAAGCCTGATGCGTACATGTACATTGTACATGTCGTGCGTAGTGTACGTGTGTACATATACATGTCGCGGACTAGGTCAATATTGAAAACGCCCCCTAACGACCTACAGCTGCCAATTTTTGCTGAGTATATATGCAATCACACGTATGAAGCCAAACCACAGTTCATGAGTTCTCTGAGGCTTAGTTCGGGCGTGGGGGGAGATAGTTCGAGTCGACTTGTTGTTCATGATGGGCCCGGTCCAGATAACGTACATCTGGTTATAGTTGAAGTGGCAAGTAACATGGTTGGTAGACTTTTTTTTACACCATTGCCTAAGGTGTTTCGTTCAGGTAGCGCTAATTAGCGCTTGAAAAGAGGCTAATGACTGAACCAGTCAGAGCGGGCGCGCGAAAACACGGAACGATGGTGCCTGTATGTACTAGAGCAAATAAAATATCTGTATTTAGTTCCGGCAATTGATCCTTCAAAGGTGACAGACCAATGGATTGTGACAGTACATTGTGGCGATTCCTCTTCCTCTGATGGGCAAACTATTACTTTGGTGTGTGTGAAAAAAGTAGAATTTTAATCACCACCGTGATCGCTGGCTTGATGAGCTAGGATAGCCAAGCTCACCCAATGTTTTTTAGCATTATTATTTTTTCTGGGGGAGGGGGTTAAAATACGAGTGCGATGTGACAAACATTATGAACAGTTTAAGTGGGTAATTAATGAGGGTCGTTTTCAAGCAGATTGAGATTTCCATCCCTTTTCGTCTCGCTTATTTCATTCTTTGTTTCTTTTTCATTATAACAAAAATTAAATTTCACTTGAAACATGTTCAAGTTGGTCTTGAAGCCTTGATTGCAACCTCGTCTGCGTCATTTCCTCTATTTGTTCAACTTACAGAGTCGAACAATATGACAGGTTATGGCCTTGCAGCAAAGTGCGTCAATAATGCTTCATATACCTACGGTAAAAGACTCCCATATCAAAAATTATTATTGCTAGCCGCGAACTGTATAGCACAGCAAAGAATGATATCAAAAATTCGAATCCTTGGTGCGCCACTGTCTGTATGCATTTGAAGCACGGAAGAAGGGAAACGGTCTAAAGACTCAATAACAATTTTACTCATTATGAGCCTTGTATTTCGGTCGTGAGGTTACGTTTGTTTGGCTTGTTCACGTTTTGCATTGCGTAGGCCTACCACGATTCCTAGCGGAGCTCGCACGTAACATTTAGTAGCATCTAAAGTTATGCAATAACGAGACGTCTTCCAGTTTTAGTGACATGCATTGAAACCCTTTAGACTGTCTTAATTATTATGTCATGTTTCCGCCCTCACGTTAAATCCCATGCGCTCGTGTACGTATTCGCTGACACTCTCTTTTCATGCGCAAATTGTGGCACCACCACAGAAAAAAAACCCTAGGCTACGGTGTAGGAAAAAAAACGCCGGCAGCTTCCATGTAAGTTCTTCGAGAGTTAGTGTTTTGATAACTTGGGCGAATTCTTTTCTATTTAAAAAGAAAAATCCATTTCTGTGTTATGGAAAATTTTACGTTACTTTTGTAAAACTTCCCATTGTCTCCTGCTTTGTAAGCCATATCGCTATTTTTTTTTCTGTTCAAAATTCAATATCCCACGAGGGTTCCGGTAAAACGCTGACGTCGAGGAGGTGGTTTGTGATCTTGGTCCAAGGACAGTGTTCTTTGGTCGTGTTCTTGAGGCTTCGTGCTACGCACTCATGGGTATTATACCATTGGTACTTTAGTCCCCCCCCCCGAAAATCTTGTATTTGCCCCCGGCTGGAACAGCTTTGATGTGACACGTTTGATGGAAACTAGAGCCTATATTACCTTTGAATTTCAAAACCTTAATTTACGGAGTTATCCAAACTGTCAACGCACGTAAAACTGATGCATGCACGCATGCATATGCCACATAATTTGTGAAAAATTGTCGGACTCTTCCTGGTAACAGAACGAACTACCACCATTCTCTGCCGATGAGGGTGCTTACACGACGCAAGAGAGGGCGCTGTACACAAGTCATGGACTTCTGGACTGGTAGCTGGCCCTAATAAACTGCCATAGCCAAAACTGATAAATACCCGAACTTCAAAGAAACTGGAAAAATACTCACCAGTTTCTAAGGCCTTTGAGACGCACTTCAAATTAAATCCCAGTTTATGAGTTTTTATTTTCATTTCAAATTTCCATTCATTGACCGATGACTTCTGAAGATATTTATTTCCACGGACGGTCACCCCTAAAATGCAGTTTTGAAGGCCCTCACCATTTTGAAATATTGGTGCCTACTCTTCTCGAAAAATAGACCGTTTTTAGGCACCGATTTCTTCCAAACCTCACTCAAACACAAGCTGGTATTTTCTTTTCCCGCCTAAAACTTCTTTTCTACAAATCTTCAAGCTCATGGGCCACAAAACGCACTATTTCGTAGAGAATTTGAGTACTTACAAATCGTGACTTGGCCCGTGCAAGCAGTTTTCGGCATATTTACTGA